CATGTGTATTTCCATTAATCGATGGATAAAATCAGTTTTCAAGGTAACGACCTTGACTATATTTATTATCTTAACTACCAAACCAGTGTCCATCAACGCCACCCATCCATGTCTCTCCGTCTAGGTGTATCTATTATGTGTCTTGCCTCAAAGCGGAGAGGGCCATACGTTCGAGTCTTGTAAGATTACACACTGGTAACATAACACGCTCTGACCTCTTAATTTACTTCTGTCATGAAGGAGGTCTGGTGATAGTCTTAGCTATGAGTGTGAGGAAGTATCTTACTGGCCTAGTTTAGTAAGATGGCAGCCAAATAACGTTGCCGTTGTACCAAGACTCTTCCGTTACAGCGGCTTAACCAGCATAGTTATGGGAAAAATATTAATATACGAATTTTGAGAATCGGTACTGCACATTCTCACCACATACCTGAGTGTACCATAAATTACCTAATGTGTTCTTTGGCAACTTTGTGTTAATTGAAAGGATCCAAATGTTGTCTTTATAATTATCTCTTGCCTTATACTGTGTCGTAGTGAGGTGATATGCTTATACAGCGGGGCGGTGTTTTTTTCAGTAGTAGTATTTATTACCTGTCGTGCGGCGGACTAATGCCAGCTACCATTTACCTTCACTCAGTAACCTTTACCCTTTGTTAATCCATCTCTCAGAATTTTTTAACATAATTTATTTGTTTTCCATGATGAAAATATTACCGGTTTCTTGTCGGTTACTTATACTGTAGATGATCTTTAGTTCTGACTGTAGAGCTAGAGCGTGAACACTGACCTGTTGCGATACCGTCAGGACCAATACAAAATGCAGAGAGAAGTGTGGGTTGGAGCAGTAGACTCACACACTGTCTCTACTCGTGTATCACGAAACGTCTCCCTCCCCTGTAATTTGAAAGTTTCTAATTACATACCTTAGTAATTTAACTTTATTTTCTCGTGTTGTTGAGTAATTTAAAATTCAGGGAAACAATACGGATTAGCATTCCACTCGGTACAAAATAATTTACCTCTTATAGTAAACTGCCTCACTGTAAACTAACCGAGTCACCGTAAGCCTACTACTTGCTATGACTCTTTGGGTGTATATAATTTGGTGTCTCGCCATAACAACACACCTGGGCGGTGAAAGTGTAGCTGGCAGTCCGTTTTAATTAGTGTTGTAAGGAGGTGTTGTGAGTTGCTAAAAGCAGTATTACAATGGGTGGCCAGGCGTCGTGTGCGTGTAATAGCTGATCACACATGCCCTCCCTCCTCTCCTCTACCTCTACCTCACACACGCCTTCCTCTCGCTCACTCTACCCACACGCGCCTGCCTCTTACTCTCACACCTATCTCTCACGCGTCTGCCTCTCACTCCAACTCACACGCGTCTGCCTCTCACTCTACCTCTAGCCTACCTCTCACTCTCACGTCACCTCACACGCCTACCTCTCACTCTACCTCTCACAGACGCCTACCTCTCCTCTACTTTACCTCTCAAGACGCCTACCTCTCTCCCTAACTCTACCTCTCACACACGCCTACCTCTCACTCTGCTCTGCCTCCTATAGACACCTACCTCCCTATCACTCCGACTCTCACACACGCCTGCCTCATTCTCACACGCCTACCTCTCCTCTCACACTCGCCTCCTCTCACTCACTCCACCTCACACACGCCCTACCTCTCCTCTCCTCCTCTCACACCTCCCACACTCCTCTCCACACACACCTCACTCTCCTCCGCCTCCTCTCACTCACTCCACCTCACACACGCCCTACCTCTCCTCCACCTCTCACACACACACCTACCCCTCCCCTCCCTCTCACACACACACACACACCTACCTCTCCCACTCCACCTCTACCCCACCTCTCCTCCATCTCACACACACCTACCTCTCCTCCCACCTCCTCACACACACCCACACCTACCTCTCCTCCACCTCTCACACACCTACCTCCCTCCACCTCTCACACACACACCTACCTCTCCTCCACCTCTCACACACCTACCTCTCCTCCCACACCTCTCCCACACACACACACACCTACCTCTCCTCTCTCACACACACCTACCTCTCCACTCCCCCTCTCCCACACACACACCTACTCTCCTCCCACCTCTCCCACACACACCCACCTCTCCTCCCACCTCTCCCACACACACACCTACCTCCTCTCCACCTCTCACACACACACACCTACCTCTCACTCCACCTCTCACACACACCTACCTCTCCACCACCCTCTCACACACACACCCTCTCCCCTCCACCCTCTACACACCTATCTCTCACACCACACACACCTACCTCTCCACTCCCACCTCTCACACACACACCTACCTCTCACTCCACCTCTCACACACACCTACCTCTCACTCCCACCTCTCACACACACACCTCACTCCACCTCTCACACACACACCTACCTCTCCTCCACCTCTCACACACACACCTACCTCTCCTCCACTCTCACCCACCCCTCCTCAACCTCACACACACACCTACCTCTCCACTCCACCTCACACACACCTATCTCCTCCCACCTCTCTCCACCCCCTCCCTCCTCCCACCTCACCCTACCTCTTCCCTCCCACCTCTCCCCACACACCTCTCCCACTCCCACCTCTCCACACACACCTACCTCTCCACTCCCACCTCTACACACACCCTCCCTCCACTCCACCCACACACACCTACCTCTCCCCACCCTCTCCTACCTCTCACTCCACCTCTCCACACACACTACCTCTCCTCCCACCTCTCACACACACCTACCTCTCCTCCCACCTCTCACACACACCTACCTCTCCTCCCTCTCCCACACACACACCTCTCACTCCACCTCTCACACACACACCTACCTCCTCCACCTCTCACACACACCCACCTCTCCTCCCACCTCTCACACACACACCCACCTCTCCTCAACCTCTCCCACACACCTACCTCTCTCACTCCACCTCCACACACACACCTACCTCTCCTCCACCTCTCACACCCACCTCTCCCACCTCACACACACACACCTACCTCTCCACTCAACCTCTCACACACACCTACCTCTCACTCCACCTCTCCACACACACACCTACCTCCTCACTCCCTCTCCACACACACACCTACCTCTCACTCCACCTCTCACACACACACCTACCTCTCCTCCCACCTCTCCCACACACACACCCTACCTCCTCACCCACCTCTCCACACACACCCTACCTCTCCTCCAACCTCTCACACACACTACCTCTCCTCCACCTCTCACACACCTACCTCTCCTCCACCTCTCACACACACCCACCTCTCCTCCACCTCTCCACACCCACCCTCCTCCCTCTCCACACACACACCTCTCACTCCCACCTCTCACACACACACACCTACCTCTCACACCCACCTCACCTCCCACCCCTCCCACACACACACACTACCTCTCACTCACCTCTCAACACACACACCTACCTCTCCTCCACCTCTCACACACACACCTACCTCTCCTCACCGCCTCTCACACACACACCTCTCCTCCCTCTCCTCTCCCCTACCTCTCCTCCCACCTCCTCACACACACACCTACCTCTCACTCACCTCTCACACCCACCTCCCCTCCCACCTCTCCACACACACACCTACCTCTCCTACCCACCTCCCACACACCCTCCTCCCTCTCACACACACACCTACCTCTCCATCCCACCTCTCACACCTACACTCTTACTCACCTCCAGTAAATAGATTTATTATAGTGAACGAGAGTACCTTTAATGATGTCTGCACTTATGCGTATAGTATTGATATATTTACGCATTTATTTATTTATTTAAATTGGGAAGTCCGATTACAGTAAATAGGCGATTACAGAGAGAGAGAGAAAACACAAAGAACAACACCCGTCACACGTCTTCTGTGTTACACCATCACATTTCCTGTGTCACACCGTGTCCTGTGTCACATCATCATTCCGTCATACGTTTCCTGTCACACCATCACACCGTTTCCTGTGTCACACCATCACACCGTCTCCTGTGTCACACCGTGTCTATGTCACATCATCATTCAGTCATACCGTTTCCTGTGTCACCATCACACCGTTTCCTGTGTCACACCTTCACACCTCTCACGTGTCAATCACCCTGTCACACCGTTTCATATATACACCATCATTTCCGTGCACCGTGTCCTGTGTCACATCATCATTCAAAATGCTTCCTGTGTCACACCATCACACCGTTTCTGTGTCCACAACCGTGTCCTGTGTCACACTCACCTCGTCACCTGTGTACACCATCACCTGGTCACCTGTACCACACCATCACGTTACTTGGCGCCTTATTGACACATTTTCTCACTCTCTTAGTGAAGACCTCCACCGCACCACACCCCTCGTGTTGTCAGGAGCATATCATTTCCTATCTCCATCTATATTTACACACACACACACACACACACACACACCACACACACACACACACACACACACACACACACACACACACACACACACACACACTTCATCGTCAGGTGTGTCATCGTTCCTGGTGACGGTGAAGGTGGTCAAAGTGCCAGTAAAAACCATAGAGTTTTATATAATGGCGATGAAACGATCAAATCAACCTCCACCCCCTCCTCCCTCCCCGTGAGAGGCATAGAAGTGTTGGGGGTGGAGAACATTAGAGCTCTAAAGGTTTAAGGGCAAGAGAGGATGAAAGTTGGACCATCATCTCAGGTTAAGGTCGCTCTCTCATCTGCTGGGGCTCCATAGTCTCCTCCACACACACCCCTCCCTCTCCCTTCCTTCCTTCCTTGTCTTCCCTCCCTCCCTCCTTCCTCCCCTTCCCTCCCATTTGCCTATCTCCTCCCTCTCCTCCCTTCGCTCCTTGTTTGCCCTCCTTCCCTCTATACCTTTGCATCATCTACATCATCATCGTCTTCCTCGTTGTTGTCGTCTCACCATCATCATCGTCTTCGTTATCATCGTCTTCGTCGTTGTTGGCATTACATCATCATCATCGTCTTCGTTATCATCGTCTTCGTCGTTGTTGTCGTCTACATCGTCATCATCGTCTTCGTTATCATCGTCTTCGTCGTTGTTGTCGTCTACATCATCATCATCGTCTTCGTTATCATCGTCTTCGTCGTTGTTGTCATCTACATCATCATCATCGTCTTCGTTATCATCGTCTTCGTCGTTGTTGCCATCCTCATCATCATCGTCTTCGTTATCATCGTCTTCGTCGTTGTTGTCGTCTACATCATCATCATCGTCTTCGTTATCAATTCCCTCGTTGTTGTCGTCTTCGTCATCATCGTCTTCGTTATCATCGTCTTCGTCGTTGTTGTCGTCACATCATCATCATCGTCTTCGTTATCATCGTCTCCCTCGTTGTTGTCGTCTACATCATCATCATCGTCTTCGTTATCATCGTCCTCCTCGTTGTTGTCGTCTACATCATCATCATCGTCTTCGTTATCATCGTCTCCCTCGTTGTTGTCGTCTACATCATCATCATCGTCTTCGTTATCATCGTCTCCTCGTTGTTGTCGTCTACATCATCATCATCGTCTTCGTTATAATCGTCTCCCTCGTTGTTGTCGTCTACATCATCATCATCGTCTTCGTTATCATCGTCTTCGTCGTTGTTGTCATTACATCATCATCATCGTCTTCGTTATCATCGTCTCCCTCGTTGTTGTCGTCTACATCATCATCATCGTCTTCGTTATCATCGTCTTCGTCGTTGTTGTCGTCTACATCACCATCATTCTTCGTTATCATCGTCTCCCTCGTTGTTGTCGTCTACATCATCATCATCGTCTTCGTTATCATCGTCTTCGTCGTTGTTGTCGTCTATCACCATCATCGTCTTCGTTATCATCGTCTCCTCGTTGTTGTCGTCTACATCATCATCATCGTCTTCGTTATCATCGTCTTCGTCGTTTTGTCGTCTACATATCATCATCGTCTTCGTTATCATCGTCTTCGTCGTTGTTGTCGTCTACATCATCATCGTCTTCGTTATCATCGTCTCCTCGTTGTTGTCGTCTACATCACCATCCGTCTTCGTTATCATCGTCTCCTCGTTGTTGTCGTCTACATCATCATCATCGTCTTCGTTATCATCGTCTCCTCGTTGTTGTCGTCTACATCATCATCGTCTTCGTTATCATCGTCTCCTCGTTGTTGTCGTCTACATCATCATCATCGTCTTCGTTATCATCGTCTCCCTCGTTGTTGTCGTCATCATCATCATCGTCTTCGTTATCATCGTCTTCGTCGTTGTTGTCGTCTACATCATCATCATCGTCTTCGTTATCATCGTCTTCGTCGTTGTTGTCGTCTACATCATCATCGTCTTCGTTATCATCGTCTTCGTCGTTGTCGTCACATCATCATCATCGTCTTCGTTATCATCGTCTTCGTCGTTGTTGTCGTCTACATCATCATCGTCTTCGTTATCATCGTCTTCGTCGTTGTTGTCGTCTACATCATCATCGTCTTCGTTATCATCGTCTTCGTCGTTGTTGTCGTCTACATCACCATCATCGTCTTCGTTATCATCGTCTCCCTCGTTGTTGTCGTCTACATCATCATCATCGTCTTCGTTATCATCGTCTCCCTCGTTGTTGTCGTCTACATCACCATCATCATCATCGTCGTCGTCGTTCTTGTCAGCAGCTCACCACCGACACACTCCCATGAATACTAATGAGTTAATTAAGTCAGTCTTCACTTGTTTAATAAAGTTTGGCGCCTCAGGACGAGTATATATATGTATATATATATATATATATATATATATATATATATATATATATATATATATATATATATATATATATATATATATATATATATATATATATATATATATATATATTAAAAATCTACTTACAGATTCAATGATGAGTTAAGAGAGTAGTCATTAATGCTGTACCGTAGATTGTAGTAGTTACATTAAGTAATTGTCTGTAACATTCCTCAAAATACAACAAGCGCAAGTGGTAATACAAGTGACTTGAGTAGACGTACAGTATTTATCGTTGCGGTGCAGGAAAATAAGAACCTCTTGTTATTTATGAGTCCGGAAGTTTGGCCAAATGATGATATCCGACCACAGTGATGATATCCGACCACAGTGATGGTATCCGACCACAGTGATGGTATCCGACCACAGTGATGATATCCGACCATTGTCTTGTGTTCTAAGGTTGACCCAGTGAAGTGTGTAAATAAGGCAGTGACCTGGTGATGTTCAGGAGGTAAGAGTGAGAGAAAGTGACCTGGTGATGTTCAGGGGGTAAGAGTGAGAGAAAGTGACCTGGTGATGTTCAGGAGGTAAGAGTGAGAGAAAGTGACCTGGTGATGTTCAGGAGGTAAGAGTGAGAGAAAGTGACCTGGTGATGTTCAGGGGGTAAGAGTGAGAGAAAGTGACCTGGTGATGTTCAGGAGGTAAGAGTGAGGGAAAGTGACCTGGTGATGTTCAGGGGGTAAGAGTGAGAGAAAGTGACCTGGTGATGTTCAGGAGGTAAGAGTGAGAGAAAGTGACCTGGTGATGTTCAGGAGGTAAGAGTGAGAGAAAGTGACCTGGTGATGTTCAGGAGGTAAGAGTGAGAGAAAATGACGCTAAAGAGGTAAAAAAGTGAGAGAAAGTGACACGGCGATGTTCAGGAGGTAAGAAAGTGACAAAGATAATCATATATGGCAAAGGAAGAGCGGGGCGGGGTGAGGCAGGCTGGGTCACGTCCTTAAACTCCCGATGAGACTAACCACCACCACCACCATCATACCGAGGCTGAGGTGGAGGTTGGGGGTGTGGTCGACGTAGAAGCCTCCACCCACGACCCTCGTACTGTATATGGAGGACTGGAGGTCTTAGGTCCAAGGTGTTTGTTAGTGATGACATTTTAGTTAAAAGATATTTGATTGAGTTTCAGTAAAGAGTGACTCACTTAACTAATATAATAGGGATGTTAATATAAATATTGCTTACAAAAATAAGACTAATATTATTTGAGGTTCGGGGAAGTAAAAGAAAGTGACAGACTCAAGGAGGAAAGGGCGAGGGTACTGTAGGTTGGGTCACGTCTTCACACACACTAGTTATACGGCCAGGGTTGACACAAGACAGTGAAGAATATGGACAAGATTCCTACAAAGACCTGCGGTGTCAAGAGGACCTGTTATCCCGTCCTGGTTGAAGATCTTAACACTGCTGCAGCATTTTTTATTATCTACTTATATTGTATCCAAGGGTGGTTGATGTTTCTGCTGTAGGACTGTGAAAGGCAGAAAGTTAGTGATATAATGTCCACTACTTGCACTACAGTAGCTACATTATCCATTACTCTATATCACCAACACTTATGCCACAACGCCAGTAACATGATATTAACCACCATAACACCACTACTATCAACATTCATAACACCACCACCACTCACAACACCATCACCACCACCACTCATAACACCACCGCCATCATTATAACTTCGTCTCTCCTAATTCGCTTCTCTGCGGTTCCCATCAGTTGTACATGTCGTGTGTGTGTGTGTGTGTGTGTGTGTGTGTGTGTGTGTGTGTGTGTGTGTGTGTGTGTGTGTGTGTGTGTGTGTGTTTCTCCTGTTTAAGTAGGTTCACTTGCTGTTGGTAATTCCCGATATGAGATATTGGTGAGGATACAAGATGGTTCCTGTTATTGTGCGTTACCTGTTATGTCGTCCTCATTTCGGGACCAGCAAAACATTCCGTGATTTTTGTTCACGTTAATCGAGGGATGCTATAATTGGAACTTTCACCGAATGGCTGTCAGATAGACGTTTAAATTTGTCGAAGGTTTTCAAGATCGTGGCGCAGGGGGATGTTTCCTGCCGCGAATGTATTTAATTGTAGTGTCATTAGGAGCTTGGCAGTAAGTTATCTGTAATTGGCACGGTGTTCCAGGCGTAATTGAGAGAGAAGATGCAGCATCTTAGAAAGGCGTGTTAGGAAGGTGGTGGGGCGTGTTAGAAAGGTGTGGGGCGTGTTAGGAAGGTGGTGGGGCGTGTTAGGAAGGTGGTGGGGGTGTTAGGAAGGTGTAGGGGCGTGTTAGGAAGATGGTGGGGCGTGTTAGGAAGGTGGTGGGGGGTGTTAGGAAGGTGTGGGGCGTCTTAGGAAGGTGTGGGGCATCTTAGGAAGGTGCAGGGCGTCTTAGGAAGGTGTGGGGCGTCTTAGGAAGGTGTAGTGTGTGTTGGGAAGGTGTGGGGCGTGTTAGGAAGGTGTAGGGCGTGTTAGGAAGAGGTGTGGGGCGTCTTAGGAAGGTGTGGGGCACGTCTTAGGAAGGTATGGGGCGTGTTAGGAAGGTGTGGGGCGTGTTAGGAAGGTGTGGGGCGTGTTAGGAAGGTGTGGGGCGTGTTAGGGAAAGGTGGGGCGTCTTAGAAAGGTATGGGGCGTGTTAGGAAGGTGTAAGGCGTGTTAGGAAGGGAGTGTGGGGCGTGTTAGGAAGGTGTGACGCGCGTCTTGGTTGGAGCCAGATATACAGGTGGGAGCAGCAACTCTGGGTTAAGTGTCAGCCACACCTCGTCTGTCATCGAATGTAATGACAGTCGCCAAGTCTTCAGCCTTCCTTCCTCTCTCACTCCTACTTGCTGATGATGCTCTTCCGTCTTGGTCATTAACCTCTCTCTCTCTCTCTCTCTCTCTCTCTCTCTCTCTCTCTCTCTCCTCTCTCTCTCTCCCATGCAGTATATACTCGTATAGTGATTGTTGTTCTTTCTTCTCAGTATTGCAGCCATCTTCTACTTTCCAGGAGTCATTATTAATGAGCTACAGTTTTGCTTCACCCAGACAACAGAAACCCCAAAATATTTCCTACACCCACAACACCCCTCATCATTCACAGAGACAGACAGACAGACAGATGGACTGAGTGAGAACTAGTGGATAGGGGGCGATCTCTGTATCCACTGGACCACTGCGCCCGTGTACAGTATATATCAACATTATTTATTTAACATTGTGTATGACAGGTATATGGAAAGTAAGTTTATGTATAATTGAACTTTCTTTTGTAGTCGTTACCATTTATCTCTTGATGCAGCAACTTGGTAAGTTGTAACCTTTGTTTACTTCCGTCAGCTGTGTCGTAATCTTCTCTTTATTGACAGACATTCATGGTAAACTTTTAATAAACACAGAGTTTGGCATAATGCTGTACGTAAAAAGTCGAGCGTCGTCTTTCAGCATAATGTTTTCGGCAATTATTATGGTCTCGGACGCGGGACGTTGCTGTCAGAACTTGATTTATACGCTGGAGGCTGATGGGTGGGTGTGTACTGGAGCATCCGCCCTCGGATATTGCTGTGTCATATTCTCTTTTGTTTCATACCTCGTCATCCGTTATTATTGCAGCAAAATCTTGTCGTATTTTATATTCTTATATCATGTTATTATCTTTGTCCAATGGTTGATTTCCTTCATCTGTGTACGTAGTGTAGTGAGGCCTCTCTGTTATCACTCAGCTGCTGTCCTGTACATCATCTTCCCGGTAATGTCTGAAGCCTTCTATGTCTCCAGCATCCGTCTTGTGGATATCTCTTGCTTTCTGTTTACAGTACAGTTCTACCTTTATTCCATCTCTCTTGCGTCCTCACCTCGCATCCCTGTTATTACTTTGTATTTCCCGGTAGTTGGAGTGTGTCTAGGTGTCTTGTCTGCTGGTACAAGACTTCCTGATTATCTTCGTATCTTGTAGTTGTCGTGTCGTGACAGTATAGCTAGGTAGTGATCCCTTCTCTCAT